TGTATAAGTTCTACATATAGATAAGCTTGAGTAGTAAGTCAATGTATAGTGTTGAGATATTTAGATATTGAGTATAATTTTTAATGATAATACAATAGAAATCAGTGTTAAAGCTTAAATTATCTGATTTCACGGTACACGTAAAATAATACAATAAAAATTAAAAAAATTTAAAAACCTTAAATTACACAAAATTATTTTAAAATGTTTTGTATTCAAATTATAGTATTTGAAGAGTTAATGTAAAAATCAATTAAATCATAATAAACTTTCTCTTAACTTTTTGTGTTCTCCATGTTGTAGTCAACTGAAAAAGCTTTAAAATAGTAGAAAGATCTTTATTCCTTAATAGTCCAGAAAACTAGGAGAAAAAAAAAATCAGTCCTGGGCCATATTTCTTCTACATAATTTTCTAAAATATTTTTAAGGATTAAAAATTTTTTTATTATCTATACCTTTTCTTACACCTCTTCTTCACTGTTTTCTCATTCATATAATTTTTATAATTTAAGTTTGTCATTTCACCAAGGAGAAAAAAAAGTCTCTATTTTTTTGTGAGCTATGTAATTATCTACTGCCACACTTTCATCTAGGAAATAATTATACTTCCACATTCCCTTTGAAATTAAGTTTACAGAAGTAAAGAAGATAGCTTTGTGGACTGTGAACAAATCACTGTAGCAATTTCTTCTTATATAAAATTTTTTAAGATGACACAATGTAGGAAGATTAAATTGGTTTAATTCTAAAAATTTCACATCTATTATCAAATATTTCTTGATGAAATATAGTAATTGATATCTAAAAAAATATAATTAAAAAATAATCCCATTTCAATGCCAGTGATTTATTTACTATTTACTCAAGTCATAGATCTCAATTGCATTGTATAAAGGCAAACACATATAAATAAATCTTTTATCTTGTTTTTCTTTTCATTAAAATGTGTATATCACAGTTCCTTGCATAAAAGTTCTCTCACTTGACTCATACAAGTTGGAAGACTTAAAACTAAAGATTTAGTTATGTTTTCCTTTGCTCCAGGAAGTCTCTAAACTTCGGGTTAATTGCATCAGCGTTAGGAAAACCCAGACTGGAATTCTCTGGTCTAAAAGCTAGTGTGTACACTTGTAATAAATGCATTTGATCAGCCTATGTAGGTTTCTGTTACATCGAAGGTATTTGACTGCACACTAAGATAATCAGGAGCTGAAATGTCAAACAATTTCAGTGTTCCAAGTACCTGCCACACTAAACCCACAGCTTTTGCTTTTGTCTAGAGCCAAAACCCTCTATAAAATTAAATTCGCAAAACTGAGGTTGATTGTTCAGCTTCCTAGTCTGCTATAAGGCAGCTCTGGTGGTGGAGTGGTAAGGAGTTGGGCTGCCAACCCAAAGAAACATGGTTCAAATCCCCAAGCTGTTCTGTGGGCCACAGATGGGCAATGTCCTTCTTTATGATTAATTGCCTCTGAAAACCCACTGGATAGTCAATTAGGAGTCAATTCTGGCTACATGGTACCAAGTAAAAACAACAATCTGTTCTCAATCACAGGCAAACAAAAACCAGGAAGGCAAGAAAACTTGTTGAAATATTAGATGTTGTGTGCCATCAAGTCGCCTGTGACTCATAGCAACCCTGTGCACAACAGCTCTGCACCTGCTCTATCTTGAGCCAGTTTCATTGTCTCCGGCACACCTACCCCTATTACCCTAGCCACTGAAGCAATCCATCTCAACTAGGGTCGTCTTCTTTTCAACTGTCTGTCCCTTCACCTTACCAAGCAGGAAGGAGCTATTAGATAAGCCACCAAAGCTCCTCAATAATAAAGGAGCTATTAGATAGTTTAACATAAGGAGCGCTGCTGGCCTAGTGGGTAAGGAATTGTGTTGCCAACCCAAAGGCCACGGTTGAAATCCACCAACTGCTCTGTGGGATAAATATGAGGAATCGCCTATCATGTAATTTACAGACTCTGGAAACCTAGTAGAGAGTCTGGTAGGAACGTGCTCCAACTTAATGACAATGAGTTGATTTTTGTCTCTTTTAATATAAAGAAAGAAAACTTGGAAAACCCAAATGTGGATATGTGTAATGCCTTTGAGATACTTAAGAGAAGATTAAGATATTGTTCCTATTATAAAAGAATTTTAATACATGTGTGTCAATCTTCATTACCTATGAAATATATAGGCATGGAAATGTCTTTCAAAGAGAAGGAATTTTCTTTCGCTGTTACTTTTCTTGTAGTAACACTTACTATACAGTCATCTTGGGCCTTACCAAACCTTGTTAGGGTGTAAAAATATATTTTAGAACAGAAGTATACTTCTGGGTATCTGGCAGACTTAAAATTAGAGGGTACATTTAGCCTGCAGTGAATATACCCATGCATGTTTAAGTGTAAATTACCAATTGTTGTTGGTCTTGATTGCCTTCAAGTCTAGCATGACTTATAGCAACCCTTTGAACAAAAGGCCTGATGCCCCTCTAGAACTATTGATATTTATCAAAGTTCATAGAGTTTCCGGAGGCATGTTGTTTCGGAAGTGAATGCCACTCCTGCTCTCAAAAATTACCACTAGAGCATTATCTACTCTGACAGCTAAAATATATATATATATATATATTTTTTTTTTTTTTTTTTTTTTTTTTTTTTTTTACTCCAGATTGCCATTCTTTTGCCTGGTTCTAGGCTGCAGATTCTTTTATCAGTTGTTTGAAGATCATAAAATAGAAAACCTAATAGCTTACTTTAAATCTTCTCAGAATCATTTTTGAATGAGACACAGATGTAGAAAAAGAAAACTAATTTTAGTGCTGAAATAGATAGCCCATAATTAGAACAATAGATGGGATTTGTGGAAAATTATTTAAAAGGAAAAGGAATTATTTAAAAATTGCCTTTTCTTTTGCCTTTTCAGTACTGTTTTCAGATCAGTAAAAACCAAGATTAGAATACTTAGAAACCACTACTCAAATTCTAGTCATTAATTATAACCATCAGAATCCCACCTTGTGTTTATATAGCACGTGTTTCTCAGTAGGTGAATGAACAAGGACAACAGTAGTTTTGTTTTCATTTATTTTTAATTTGCTTTTAGTTTTTGTAAGAAAAAAATGAAGCTATTGCTGTAAAAGTGAATAGCAAGAAAGTTGCAGGTTTTACTAATTAGAGAATTGGTCCTTTGAATAAGCTTCAAAGTGAGTTTTTGCACAGTGTCTTATAAATACCTAGTTTCCTCTGGCATTTGTTGTTAGAGCTACTATTTTTATTTTTGTACTGTTAGATTTTTTCTATTAAATTTTGTCAGCAATCATTTTCTTCTTAGGTTTTTCAATGAGACAGGAGAAGAAGAAAAAGAATCTCTATAGTTTCTTTTGATTTAATTTTTTTTAAAACATTATTTTAAATATTAGTGTTACTGGGTGGCAAAACCTACAAAGTAAGCTGTCAAATTTGCTAAATCTGCTCTCAAAATTTATGCAACAGTTGCCACATTAGTCCATCCCCACCGGATTGAAATTCTCCATTCTGATTTCCCCATTAAAGAGTGTCTTATGAAATCACAACTTTCCACTCTTTTTTATACTAATTTACTCTCTGTCAAAGACTAGTTCATTTCTCAGAACCTTACCAACAAGGATTTTGTCTTTTACTGACATGTTATTGGAAAGAAATTTTTTCTGTTTATTAGTTTTGCAGAGTCAGTTAAACCTTTGAAAAATTGCATTTTCAATATCTCAGCTGGCGTACAACTTGGGACCCACCTGATTTTTTCTTTATGCATCTCTTATCTACCACTTCTCTGTTTTACCACTGTTGTATTTGATTCTACATACTTTTTTATAAATAAGTTATGAAAAAAGGAAATCAAAGTGAATAAAAAAGAAAGTTAACATTTTGTTATTCTGATTTTTACTATTAATATTTTACTATTAATATTTAATTTTCTTTTTGTTAAAATTGGCAAGATTTAGAATGTTTTATTTATACTGATACCAAAAAATTTATGGAAGTTTTGTTAGACTTTGGGTTTATCAGATGCAGTTATTTTAATTCATCTTTTTATTTAGGATATCTCTTAGGTTTAATATTTCTGTTCACTATTTCTAAAATCATAATAGAGATACAATCAATTTCATGATATTTATTGTAAAATTTTATAATTTGACTTGAAGATAATAGGCTAGAGTCACCTTCATTTTCTATTTATTGCATGAAGTGGTGTGTGCATAATTAAATACATTCCCTTTGCTCTTCTGTTACAGTTCATATCTAATACCTTTCAGTATACTGAAAGTAAATGCATTTCTTTTGCATTTTAGTAGTTAACAAAGCTATTTTTAATATATCATCAACTTTTTTTTTCAGTCTGAACAGAATCCATAAGGATTGCCTGTTTATTTGTTTTGGGACAAGAGCCCTAGTGGTGTAATGGTTAAAGCATCAGACTGCTAAGGGCAGTTCAAACTCACTGGGTGCTCTGTGGGAGAAAGACGTGGCAATCTGCTTCTGTAAAGACTTATAGTCCTGGAAACTCTACGAGGTGGTTCTACTGAGTGCTATAGAGTCACTCTGAGTCACAATTTCCTCAACAGCTGTGGGTGATGGGTTATTTTGTGAGGGGAGACCCCATAAACCCTGGTACCCAATGACTTATCATGAAGTGATTTATGTCTAGAAGTAGCACTTGTTCACTCACTTCTGTAGTTTGTGCTACAGCCATTATTGGGCCAGGTACTTCTCCAAAGCTCATGAGTTAGGGAATGGTAATTATAGTAAGTTGTGTATTATAAATAATGCATGTATGTTCTGCATGAGTTATGTGGGACTTCAGCTGGCTTACAAGAACATAGCTGCATAAATATTTGTTTGGATTCTGTTGCAGATGATTGATAGTGTAGAATGTTGGCAATGATGTAAATTATTGTTGGGCTGCCTTGAAAATTTCTGCACAAGTGGTGATTTCTTCTCTTTTTCTGTGTGCTTGTCTAGTCTCGGCAGACACCTGAGGGTGAGTTCCTACCCCTTGACCAACTTGAACTGGATGTAGGTTTTAGTACAGGGGCAGATCAACTTTTTCTTGTTTCCCCCCTCACGATTTGCCACGTGATCGATGCCAAAAGCCCCTTTTATGACCTCTCCCAGCGCAGCATGCAAACTGAACAGTTCGAGATTGTCGTCATCCTAGAAGGCATTGTGGAAACAACTGGTGAGTAAAACCACAGATATGCTATTAAGTTTCTCTATTCTGTAATGATACTTTATGCGCAAAACTGGTGATAAGTTGGCCTAAATGTCTCAAGTGTACACATTAATGAAAGACTTGCCTCTTATTGCTTGGTAACATTAAATTGATAAGTACTCTGAATATTAACATTTACTGTTTTGATGGTTTCATTCATAATATTAACTCAGAAATACTGAAAATAATAATAATAATTTTAATAATGAAACAGACAACTTCTTAGAAATTATGATGCTGACCTCTTTTACTTGTAAACATGGAAACTCCTATAATCATGATTTTTCTTTAATGCTTAAAGTTATTTTAAAAAATGGTGTAATTAATGAGCAAGCTGAACTAAATATGTGTATTCTTGTCTTGGTGAAGGTGATTTGGAGTGTCAGTGACAGAGCTTTGGTTCATTGCTAACTGCAAACTCAGTGGAAAATTGCCTGTGTATGTGTGTGCGTACGCGTGTGTTGAACAGTGATTTAATTTCAAAATAGGTCAGTAGATTTCCCCAGCTGAACTTGGCAAAATTATATATTTTTTCATTTTTCTACCTTAATATAGTTTGTTTTGTCTTGTATGCCATTCATTGAAATGCTATTTAATATGGTTGTTTCCAAAATACTCAAAATTTGCAATGCTCTGGGGTTAGATTTGTAATGAAAAGAAACAATGACTTTGAGCTTATTATTTGAGTTCTAAATGTTGCCCAGTTGCTTTATAGGTTTACTGTTGGATAGAAAAGCAATGCTATATGTATTTATTCATGGATGTAATTTCACTTTTATCAGTTCTCTAAGGGAATGAGATAGCAAGGAATAACGTTCATTATTTTCCGCTACAATTGTTTTGTCTTAAATTATATAGTAATATTGATAGTTACAGGAACAAAAGTCAGATAAATTTCCTCCTTATATTTATGGGAGGAATACATGGTTAAGTAACAGTGCCTTTGTCCAAGGAGCAGAGGATGCAAATCCATTGTCATTTTTGCATTTCTGTCACTTAACACCTGTTAGCAATTTAGGCAAGATACTTATCTCTGTATGCTTCTTGTCTTTCTTTTTAAAGTAAGGGTAATAAAATTACTCCTACAAAAACACTTTTAATTTCACTGTTATTTTGTTATCATTAGTGCTTCAGTTTTAAAGTTCAGAGTTGTCTTAGAAGAGTAAGAAAAGGTTTAACTAGTTAATTTTGTTCTGAAATTTATGACAGTGCCATTTTATGACTTTAAGTCCTTTAGATTTTTTTACTTTAAAGTTGAAATGATTTGATAATGTTTTGCTAAAATACTAAAGAATAGTAAGTGATAAAACC